CTCAGGTCAACTAAAATGCTAGGGAATTTATCCATAAAGTTTAGAAGCAAGCCTGTCAAGTGCAAGTTTGATGATCAACTTCATATGCAGGTGCTAGATGGATTTATTGCTGTAATTGACATATCAAATCCGGAAAGTGAGTTGTTGCAAATGCCGAAGTGTTCTTTTCAAGATGCTAGAAACCGCGTGTATTATTTTTGAGGCAGTGAATCTGTTTGGTTTCCTTTCGGTGAAATTTCACACCTAAACGATGAAACTATGTTAATCCCTTTTTCCACCTTACCGTCCTTTCTGGGATAATTGTGGCTTTTTTCTAAACAGCTCTCACTAATCTTTGCCATGAATCGCCTGATAACTGCTCTTGCTTCTATGTAAATTTGCTCCTGAATGACCTAGGTTACGACAGCATTTCTTGAAGACAAATATTTTGAAGATAGATCGCCTTCAAGAACTGGGCGAGCTCAAAATGGAAGCTGTTAGTTGTAAGATGTGAACGTCGACAATATTTCAACCGGAATTAGCAACGTCTGGTGCTTAATCTTACATTGATCACAACGAAAAACAATATCCACCAGATGGAAAATGAGATATGATCATTGAATTTATCAGCTGACACCTCGTGATAAGAAGATCGCGATGATGTAAACGTGCCGACTCACCATTATTCTGCCATAAAACACTCGGATGAATTTAATGAATCTCACATATAGTAACATTCGCGATATAAATATGGCTTTACTTGGCGAATCTAACCGAGTTAAAGTACCGAAAAGCTCAAACAAACCGTAAATTAGACAAAACAGAACCGTGGATGGAACAGCATCCACTGTGAATAACAGAAATGACGAAATGGAACATATCCTCACATTAGTGAACGCCCTTTACTTACGAATGTTAAATTTTTACTCTCCTTCTTCATTTATACATACTTTTGGTAGTTAAAAAACGAAAATTTGGACTGAATTTAGATGGCGTTACTAAACCCTAAGTGGGATTTGGCAATGTAGTATCCTCTATTACGGCTCTACATTGATGATATTGAAAAGCATTTACTGCAGAAACGCGAATCATTGGGTAGTTTTTGGTTCAAAATCTACCACGAAAGTCAAAATGAATATGACCTACATGTACCTTAAAATGGTTGTTTGAAATACTTATAAAACTATATAAATGAATCTAAAATATGTGAAACACTGTTTGATATCTAACCCTAACAATAATGCTGGTGGTACCTCTCATAATTTGATAGTTTAGTGTATAAAGTTTGATTGAAGTCATTACCCTACTCATTTGCAGTATTTAAGTCCTGGTATTACTTTAAGTAACTCCGCCTGGAGTCCTTCCGGGAGCTACTGCCGGTCACAAGCCCGGATAATGGAGGAGGGTTGGGCGTGGGGCTAGCGTCCCCATTCCGTAGAAAACTAACTCGCTAAAAAACGCTAACCAGAAAAAATTATTCAAACCACTTAAACTCTGCCCTGGGAGTCAGAAGGTCTTCATTTAGAAGAATTATGACGCCTCATGATGAAAGCCGAATTCCTTCGGAAGTTACGAGACCGATGCCCCTTCTGACAACTAGAGCGACCTCTCTGATAGGTCAGTCATTTTTTATAAGTTAAGAGAATCTTCCGATAAGGAACCAAAGGCTAGATTTGAACACGATCTCAGTCATATTAAGTCCTTAATAAGTAAACTACTCCCAGATACAGTTTCAGGAGTTAGTATTTGTAAGCTTTACAGAATAGGACAAAAGGTGGATTCTAAAAGTCCTCAGAAAAGCCGCCTCTTGAAAGTAACATTTGCCACGGTTGAAGAAATGAACATGATTCTAGGTAACTCACGTAAACTGATTGGGCCCGGAATATACGTCCGTGAGGATCTCGACCTAGCTGATCGTATTAAGAGATGAGGTGTATAAGTGTAAATAAATGAGCGCTACCGAAACGGTGAGAGAAACCTTGTTCCTAAAGGTTTTCAAATTGTAAAAGTTCGGAGCAAAACGGTCCTCAAACCACTCTGGGTGGTAAGGAGAGGTTGTAAACAGACTTAAAGATATGCTACACAAATGCTCGCAGCCTACTAAATAAAATGGCGGAGCTTAGGTCATTGGTGGATAAAGAAAAACCGGACGTTATTGCTGTCTCGGAAACTTGATTAACGTCAGAAGTATCAGGTAGTGAAATCCAGTTGACTGGTTTTTTAACCAATAGGGCTGATAGCTTAAACTGTAGGGGAGGCGGGGTTATCCTGTACACGAAAAGTACCCTAACCATAAGAATAGCTGAAACAGTAGCACATGTTTCAGGGACATGTGAACTGGTGAGATGTAAGCTGAAATGTAGACGGCGAGATATTGAATTATTTGCAGTATATCGCAGTCCTGAATGTGTAGCAGATGATTTTATTCTAAGTAAATTTAAGTTCTGATGTAAGAAGGGTAAAAGCCTAATAGTAGGAGACTTTAATGCACCGTATATAAACTGGGTTAACTTAGAAGTAGGGTCATTGGTAACGTCGTTCGAATTCAAACTGTTAGAACCATCGGTTGGATTAGCTTTATCCCAAGATAGGACTTAGGAAACTTTTCCTCTCTTTTAAATTTAGTCTTCACACACAGTGATGACGTTGGTTGAATGGCTTTTCTCCCACCCCTTGGGAGAAATGACCATGCAGTCATCTTATTCAAATTCATGGCTGAGATTGCTTGTCAAACAGTTGCACCGGCCCATCCCAACATATGGAAGGCAGATATGCAGGCAATTAACTCCGCAGCATCGGCTGAAAACTGAGAAATTGACTCAAAGGCATCAGTACAAGAGGCATGGACTCTATCCAGGCAGTTATACAATCGGGTAACTCAACCATATATACCCAAAGAAAAAGAAGCACGGACATCCCTGGATAGGGCGGGATATTCGACGTTTACTAAGACAAAAGAAAAAATGCTGGGACGTCGCCATCCGCCTTGGCACAGCAGGTACGATGGAACGCTACAGATCGATAAGAAACGAGTGTATAACGAAAATTCTAGAAGCTCAAAGAAAATCTGAAATGCGGCTGGCACAATCTGCACTCAAGCAGCTTAAGTGAATATTCTCGTACAGAAACTACAGAACAAGGATGCTTCATTGGATTTCCAACCTAATCAAAGAAGAGAGTGAATCTGAAATGATAGAGGAAGATCTGGAAACAGCAGGGGCTATGGCTGATTATTTTGGAGCAGTTTTCACTCAGAAACCTCCTCCAGACCAAGAACCAGACCTAAATACAGAGTCGACAAACCAACTGCTCAACGTGGACTTCGACCACAACGATGTGCTTAAGGCTCTTAGCATCCTAAACATGGAGAAGTCGACAGGACCAGATGACTACACCCCAAAATGTTGAGACATATTGCCCAATATATCGCGGCCCCGCTGACTGTGATATTCAATATGTCACTTGACCAAGGTGTGTTACCTATGGACTGGGAGGACGCAATCGTCACTCCCATACATAAAACAGGTCCATGACAAGTTCCATGGAATTACAGATCCGTAAGCCTCACCAGTGTGGTAATTAAAATACTGGAAAGAATAATCAAACGGACCATAACGGCATTTATGGAAACCAATAACTTGCTGAACATGGCACAACATGGTTTTATAAAGGGTCTACCCTGTACAACGGACCTCCTTATAGTAAGGGAGTTCTGGATTAATGCGCTAGACAACGGAAACTCAGTGGATGTTGTCTACGTAGACTTCAGTAAGGCTTTTGACAAGGTGACAACTAATAGGCTGCTATTGAAGTTGGAAAACCTTGGTATTGCCCGACCTCTTTTAAAATGGATTAAGGATTTCCTAGTAGGTCGTAGACAAAAAGTAAGAATGAATTCCAAGTGCTCCATCTGGAGACCAGTCCTTGGTGGAGTCCTCCAAGTTTCCGTCCTAGGTCCTTTACTTTTTATCATGTGCACTAATGATCTTACAAGTATAGTACAGTCTCCAGTGTTATTATACGCTGACGATGTAAAAATTTGGCGAGTAATAACTGGAGACAAAGACGCATTTACTCTTCAGGCAGACTTAAATAATATGATAAACTGGTCTAAAGAGTGGCTGATGCCTATAAACGCGGAAAAGTGTGTCTACATGCACTTGGGGGATTCAAAAGTTATTAGGTAAAACATAGAGGATGTGTCATTATACGTAGTCCGGTCTCATAAGGATCTAGGGGTGATAGTGAGTAATGATCTTAAGACGACGGCCCATTGCCGGAAGGTCGCAGCCAAGAAGTTTCGAACCCTCTAAGCTTTTAAAAGGATATTCACTAAGTTAGATACTACCATGTTCACCACATTATACACATCCTTAGTGAGAACTAAGCTATTGAACTGCGTTCAGGCTGCAAGCCCCTGTTTAAAAGGTGAATCGTACATTCTAGAAAAAGTACAGAGGGCAGCTGCAAGTGCAATTTCAGAACTTCGGTGTTTACCATAAAAAGAGCGGCTTGAAAAGCTGGACCTCTTTACTCTGTCCTATCGCAGGTTAAGGGGAGATCTAATTTTGATGTACAGAATACTGGGAAATGATTTTGGACCTAACTTATTCTCTCTTTTTCTTCCCACTAGATCAGGACATCTCAGAGGACATAGCAGACGAGTAGAAAAGCCAAGAACGAACAAAATGCCTGCGTAATACAGGTTTTAACAACAAGTCATCAATACTTGGAACCTGCTTTTCGAAGCAGTGGTATCCACACCTTCAATTGACTCTTTTAAGAAGAGACTGTACACTCACAGAAGCATACTAGAAAAGGAATAACATAGGCCGTAGGCCTTCTTTCTTTACTACACAAATTTGAATCTATCTATCCACGTATTAGCGTCGACGCAGTCGGAATGCTGGAATATCTATCTACAATCATTGAGCACACATCGCAACTGAGCAAATAATTTTGTTCATAAAGAATTAAGACTGCATTTGTTTTATTGAGTCAACTTAAGGAAAATTTATGTTACTGTTTTTTTGAGTCAAAAGCGCGAGCGGGACATCTGGTTGTGTACATACGGAAGCATTGTATAAACTAGTCGATGTTTTAGAATTATGGGTGATAATAAAAGAGTATCTTATAGTCCGATGAATGCAGAACTTCTCCGTGATGAGAAAGAGCCTTTGCGGGAGGCAGATTTATCTTCTAAGGATATGGTGTGGGTTCCTCATGAACGAGAAGCATTTGTCGCAGCTATTAAGCTTCAAGAACAAGGAGAAAACGTTGTAGTACAACTCGTAGAGTCAGGAAAGAAATGTACGTTTCCTAAGGATTATGTTCAAAGAATGAACCCTGCAAAATACGACAAGATAAAGGACATGGCAAACCTATCGTTTATGAATGAAGCATCAGTCTTAAATAACTTAAAGACGAGATATTATTCAGGAATGATCTATGTAAGTCATCGAATTGTTTCACATTACAATGTAGACATACTCCGGATTGTTTTGTGTGGTTGTTAACCCATACAAACGATTACCGATCTATGACGAAGAGATAGTAGAGTGGTATAAAGGAAAAAAGCGCCATGAAAGACCTCCACATATATTCGCTATTGCTGATGGAGCTTACCGTAGCATGCTTCAAGGTAATCATGTGTAATTTGAGTTATGTGTGTTACAGACCGTGAGGATCAGTCGATTTTGTGCACGTAAGTGTGTTGTTCACTTTTACTGGATCTTGTAGCGGTGAATCAGGATCTGGAAAGACCGAAAATACGAAAAAGGTAATACAATACCTCGCATGTGTTGCCACGTCTGCAAAACATCAAAAAACATCAGCCAAAAATGTAATGTCAAAGTTTAACGTAAGTACTTTTTCAACCTATTCTGACAAATTTGATATTTGGACACATGCTTTACAAACATGATAATAAGTTATTCCGTATAGGCTCTTAAATTTCTATTTCCAAAACATGTGGACCAGTTTTTCGTCATATCTCATATCTTATTTGCCTTTTCTGATCCCTAGTTTTATGTGGTCGAAATCTCAGCCGATGTGTGTAATAAAAGAGATAACTTGCAATCATTCCATGGTTTGATTCACATGCGGTTATAGTTATTTTTGAGCACCCAGATCGTTTGCTAAACTCTATAGACATTTAGATTTATATGTTTAGGTTCATGCGACTCGTATAACCCTCAACCACAAGTTTTTGTCTCATATCAGCGTCTATTTACCTATTATTTCGTAACTGGGAAAAGCAACGTAAAATTCAAAGCTTACGTTGCAACTTAATTGAGTAAACACATGTAACGAGAACAACTTTGTTAATCGATATCAACACCAAGGTTACGAATAGTAGTTTCGAATAAATTGATACTGGGTAGAAAGTTAATAATGACAATATAATTATATTATTACCTCTATCAATATGGTTTTCAACATGTTCCTCAGTTTCTGAACGGTAATATTTCATAGTTTTGCTCAATATCCAATGCCTAATTTACCAGCAATTGTTACATGATTTACAACTGAATAATGAGTTACAATTAATAATGTGATTGGACCCTGTTCAAAACTCGATAGTATTATTTTAATCTGGCTTTTAATTTAATTTTTAGACGAAAGATTTCAGTATTGTAAGTTTACCGTTGCTTTATGTACACGATGAGTCTTTCACAAATTCCTTATGCACTTGATGAATGGTGATCCTTAAAGGTTCTCTTTTTTCAAAATTATTTTTGAGAATCCGTGTCACAATGAATACTGGTCATTAACATAAACCTGTTATCTAATTATTTTTTATTGGTGAAGGTTATGGTGTTTGATACCTGTTTACATTTCATCTCACTTCTATACATTGTTTTCGTCTTACAGGGTGAACTTGAAGCACAACTTTTGAAGGCAAATCCCATTCTTGAAGCCTTTGGAAATGCCAAAACAATTAAAAATGATAATTCTTCACGTTTTGTAAGTGAAACATTCTTTGTCAACTGGCCGGAAACCGCACCTAATTTTAGGATTTTGTTTTTTGTTGTAGAGCCACTATTATAAATCAACGTATATGATAATTACGCCTAATATTTTAGTTATAAATGATTGTATTTTCCAAATGTTGAACGATCTCACTCGCTGACATGCAATCAGTTCTCGTTATCGCTCCACTGTTTGTTGTGCACACTTTTTGTGGTCTGTCAAATTCTTGTTTTACACTCCTATTCATATATCAATCGCCCCGTACTTTCGATCTAATGCTTCTCCAAGAGGAAAACGTTTGCACGGTGAACTTATATATCGTTTGACAAAACATGAGTAGTAAAAATCCTTAATTGCTGATTATCCAAGTCCTTTCCTATGAATTAGCTAGCTCATTAGCTCAAGTAATTTAATAAAATACCTTTGGGTGAGATAAACAGAATTTGACCTATTCGTAGATAAGAAGTCTCCGTGCGTGAACCACTGAGTAAGAAATACCTGGGTTAGAAATAAAGTACTAGGTAGGGATAGCATTTCAATTGATTAAGTAGTGAATCTTCATCTACTGAGGTGTTTGGGACATGTCACTTATTCCTAACCATCATCTTTCTCGACGGGCAGTGTCTGATGTGAAAGTAAACTATAAGAAAGCTAGGGGCAGCCAAGCCAAGATATGACGTGAAATCATCGACAGTTGGAGTGAGCCATGTTAATAGGTGTAAACTACCTGGTTGAGGTCTGCGTGATTATCGTAACCAATGGTTAGAGTCCTTAAATGACATGGCTCAAAGTAGCTTGGAATGGCTCATGTGCATCCATTATTTTTCTTCCCCCAAATATTGAGATTCTAAATTCTTCATAGCGTTTTTGTGTTTCTGTTTTACTAATTTACATTCACATGAGTGCTTAATTTATTCTATTTTCATTCATACTGTTACTACCTCTACTGTTGTGAGGTTTGGCCTGACAGTTTCACCTCTGCTGATGGAGTATGGCATCTTGAATTGACGTACATACATGACAGGTTTTACGTTGTGACTGAATTTTTGTGTTTATTGGTTTACTGGGTTACAATAAATGCAAGAAAATCATCTTAATGTTACCACTACAAGTGTTCGATAATTATCTCAATGACTTCTATGCTACAAGTTATGTTGCAGTCTTTTACTTTATGTATCATTTTCTATCTGATATTTAAATAAATAACTAATAATTTCTTTTTGTAGGGTAAATTTATTCGTATTAATTTTGACACATCTGGATTCATTGCTGGAGCTAATATTGAAACATGTATCCCTTTTGTGATTGGTTCTTGTGTACGTACGGCTTTTGCTTTTAAGTTTTTTTTCATTCGGTCAATTAAATAATGTATTATAAATATGGAACTTGTGTGTTTTAATTTAAGTGTTATGGTACACATAATAAATCAATTTAAACACATGATTGCCTTGAGGTTGCACCTTCATTCAGACCCCTACATAATGTAAATAATCCCCTATATATCTTGAGCTCCTGACATCCAAATCACAGAAATTATGCATTACTTGTATTTATAGTTAGTCTAACAAAACACGTATCCTCTCTGACCATTGAACAAGATTCAGCATTTCATGTTTTTTCACTTAAGAATAACAAAGAAATCAACATTGATGGAATATATACGTAGTAAAAAAAATATGTATCAAAGAAAAAAATTAGACGACAATCACTAAAAACTCTAAGTTTGAGGGATAAAAAATGAGTATATTTGTGTCATTAGAATTTATTCCAAGCAATCATCTTGAGTTGTGAACCACATATCTATGTTATCTTTTTGAACCTGCGTGAGGTTACTTCGTTTCATTAACTGGTGCCATCTTCATATTTGACCGCTTTTTTAATTTTTATTTTAAAGTCATATGCGGAGATTGTTAATTCCTTATCATAGTATAGATCTTTTAGAGAAAGCTCGTGTTATTCGTCAGGCAGTGGATGAACGCAGCTTCCACATATTTTATCAGCTTTTGGCATCAGCTACTCCAGCAATGCAACAACAACTATTATTAAATCATGCTAGTGCTTATCGTTTCCTTTCAAATGGTATGATCGAACTCCCGGGGATCGATGAGCAACAATTTTTCCGTGAAACAACTGAAGCCATGGATATAATGGGAATTAATAACGAGGACCAAAATGGTACGTTTAATGTAGTTAACTTAGATATCTTACTTGTTTCTGCAAATAAAATGTTGATATCTTGTCGAGTAAACTTATTTACTTTACACCTTCCAAATTCAGTGGTTGTCAAATACTTTATCCTTCTTATAATTTGTTATTTTAGCCATATTCCGCGTGATATCTGCTGTGCTTCATCTAGGAAACTTAGAATTTCGTCAGGAACGAAGTTCTGACCAAGCAACTTTACCAGATCATTCAGGTTAGTGTTTGGACATTCGTTATGATCTATTACACTGGGTTAGTTGTATAATGTTTGTCAACTTTTGATTTACTGCTTGATATCCATACTCACGTCATATTCCATGGGTTAATATTCATATTTCAGTTTCGTGTACATAATGTTGCTCAAAATGGCTTAAAGTACATAAAGACAAGGTTTACGGTTTTTTTAGTCACGGTTATCAGTTTGTGATGATATCTTCAAATAAAACATGTTCATAAACATTGAAATGATTAATACTTTATTGAATCAGATATTACACCATACCAAATCACAATTTTTCTATGTTACGATTACTGATGTGGTACACAGCAATTTCGCTAAAATATTTTACCAGCGTTTTTAATAGCATTAAGTACATACTGTTATTAAGTATCATAGTTTCATACATCACTTATATGTTAAGTACGTTCGTATTTTAACACGATGTCGCAGGCGTCAGCCCTTGGTATTAATATGTTGACCGGATTATTCCGATTATTATCTAAGCACACAAAGTATGTTTATAGCATCATAAAGAAAATTTCATAAATTTGTAGAAAAAAGAAAAAAGTCGTTGACAAAGCAGTGTATAATAAGATGAACACCAGTTAACAATACAATTCGGTTTAAAAAATGGAACCAAGAATAGTTCTTTCAGTTAAAGAAGTTCCTCTCATATTTATGAAGATTGTAAAGAATAACTGCGGCAAAATCCCATCGGCTTCTGTTTTGACCCAGAGCTACTGAGTTGACTGGATCATCTGTCCTTTGGTCAGGATTCGAAATATAGATATACTTATCCCACTTTCTGATTGTAGATATATCTCTTGATTTCAGTTGGCATGCTATCACATTAATCAACAAGTTTTATGGGAGTTCCTGTCATTGGAATTCGTGCTAATAAAGCACACTAACCTACTGGATTCTCTTTGCCCGAATACTATTAGTCAGGTTAGACCTTACGGCGAACCATCTTCTGAAATTTGAATACGTTAAATAATGTCCACCAAAGTCCTAGAATAATAACTGATCTAAAAAAAGTTGTGTATTTATATATTCGGGGTTTCTGTTCAGCAGTTGTAAACGATACTTCAAAGTTTTTGTTCACAGGTTAACTCTTGACCATTTGCTATAAATAGGGTAAATCATTTTATATGCCAGTTTACAATTAGATCATAATTGTACCACTGCAAACATAAGCTCTAGAAGTAGCAATTGAGCACTCTAAAAGTTTTTAGTGGGACTACTTTATTCTTTTCAGCTGATATTATTATAGAAGCCGAATGTTATCAGATGTTTATGATATCCGATTTCTTTTTTATGGAATTTATCAATAGTAACGATTTCAATTTATTACCATACTTTACAGTTGTAAAATCTTAATCTACCCCAATGTTTTATTCGTATAACAATTAACACGTACCTTAATACCTTCCCTAGTCGCTGAAAAGGTATCCCATCTTTTGGGTATCCCTCTGAATGAAATGGTCAAAGCGTTTTTGAAACCGCGCATCAAAGTTGGGAAAGATCTGGTGTCAAAAGCTCAAACCAAGACGCAAGTGGAATTCGCTGTTGAAGCTATTTCAAAATCTATCTACGAAAGGCTCTTTCTTTGGTTAGTCGCACGAATAAATAAAACACTTGACAAAACTAGACGACCGGGTGCATCATTTGTTGGGATTCTCGATATAGCTGGTTTCGAAATCTTCCAAGTGAGTTGATATTTTGTGACAGTTTGGTATTATCTTCGTGCCTTTTGTACTTTGAAGTACTTGAGTTATCTAACTGGACCAATTATTGATAGAGAGACACAGTCAGTCAGTCAGTCAGCTACAACTTAGGACCAGGCACATATGTGCATTGGTCCAGGTTGCCATACCGCATCAGCACAACAAGATGAACACCGGCTTCATAGCATGTAAGAGAAAGATTGCATATAGAGATATAGTACAAGAAGAAAGAATTGGTTCGTAGAAAGAAAGATATGAAGTGATTTTAATCTCTTAGTTTAAGGGAAGACAGGGAGTGTATACACCGACGCCATTGTGATCGATTCTGAGCCATGTCACCAAGAGTCTCCAACCATTGGTTACGATAGTCACGCGGACCCCAACCAAGTAGTCTGCATCTCCCAACATGGCTCAGACTAGAAGTTAGTGACTTCAAGCACTGATGCCACGTTTTGGTTTGGCCGCCCCTAACTTTCTTCCAACCATTTCCAAAACCGGATAGCATTGCACGTCGTGGTAATCGGTGTTCAGGCATACGTAACACGTGGCCCAACCATCTCAGTCGATGAAGATTCATAACCCCATCAACTGATTTACCATCATTCCCTAATACTCTGCGTCTAACCTCACTATTACTTACCCGGTGATCCCAGCAGACGCCAGCAATATTTCTAAGGCATCTGTTGTCAAATACTAGTAGCTTACGAGTGTCTTCTACTCTTAATGGCCATGTTTCACTGCCGTAAATTAAAACAGAACGGACTGCCGCGCAGTATACTCGTCCTTTTATTGATAGACAGATATCTCGCCTCCGCCAAAGGTGACGTAAGTTGGCAAAAGCCAAACGAGCTTTTCGAATCCGTGCTGAGATTTCGTCCGATACCAACCCATTAGGGCTGATCAGACTTCCAAGATAAATGAAGTTGTCAACGCGTTCGACTACTTCACTCCCTATCCTTAGTTCAGGTGTTGACGCAGACCAGTCCTGAAGCAACAACTTGCATTTAGAGGGAGAGAAGCGCATCCCAAACATCCTGGCATCGTTGCTCAGTGCTACCAGAAGACTGCATTTTGTCAGCGTCTTCACCAAACAGGACTATGTCATCTGCGTATTCTAAGTCGGTAAGTGGACCTCCTGGTAGGAGATCAATACCCGAGAACTCAGTCGACGAGAAAGTTATTTCCATCAGTAGATCTATGATGAAGTTAAACAAAAATGGGGAAAGTGGACAGCCTTGACGGACACCACTTGAGGTTGCAAAAGTAGATGACAGTTCGCCATAAGCTCTGACTCGACTAGTAGTGTTCGAGTAAAGAGCCTTTACAAGGTTTATGTACTTCTGTGGTACGCCTTTCAATGACAGACACTGCCACAGAGTCTCGCGGTCTACCGAGTCAAATGCTGCTTTTAAGTCAAGAAAGACCACCATTGTCGGACGCCGAAAAGTATGCCTGTGTTCTAGAACCTGACGAATGGTGAATATGTGGTCGATGCAGCCACGACCAGGTCTGAAGCCAGCTTGGTTCTCTTGTGTTTGCAGTTCACGAGTCTTAGTTAGGCGTCTGATGATTATCGAAGCTAGTATTTTAGATATTATATTAGTTAAACTAATCCCTCTATGGTTGTCACAGGATGATTTTGACCCCTCTTATATATTGGGACGATAAGTGATTGTGACCAGTCAGATGGGATAACGTCTAACTCCCAGATTTTAGCTAAAATATTAGTCAACCTAATCGCTAAAATTGTACCACCATCCTTAAAGACCTCTGGAGCCAATCCATCTGGACCAGCTGCCCTTCCTCGTTTCAGATTAACTATAGCCTTTTGAACTTCAGCAAGAGTCGGGGGACCTACTTCAATGTTCCATTCACATTGTCTGGGAATGGAGGGCAGTTGTAGAGTAGCTGAAGGCCAGCTGAACTGTTCTCTAAAATGTTCCGCCCATCGTTCTAAACGTATGGACTGGGAGCGGATGAGAGTATCATCTTTTTCCGAAATAATCTCACTTACACTTGACTTATTAATTCCAGTTTCTTTTATTAGTCTGTAAAGCTGTCTTGTGTTCCCTATAGTCGCCGCCTTTTCCATCTCTTTTGCTTTCGTTACCCACCACTGCTCACGGTCGTTCCTTAGACTTTTTCTTAACCTAGATCTGATTTGTTTACGCTCTTCATCATGTTCAGAACCTGATCGGACGAGTTTGCGAGAATCCATCAGTGTGACAGATCTTGAAGAAATCCACTGGTTCCTTGCAACTCTGTGGTTTAAGTCACTAATAGATGTCACTGCTGTATGCCCTTCCAAGCAACATCTGGGTCAGCCTCGTCTTCACAACTACTTAAGTGTGACCTCAGTTGTTCCTGGAACCTACTTTTGGTTTCCTCGCTACTCAGTTCGGTTCGAATGGGTCTTTTTACTGTGGCTTTTTTGCGTCCAGTGAGGCGCAAGCAGATGCGTGCCCGTATTAGGGCGTGGTCGGAGTCCAAGCAGGTACTCCAGAATGAGCGACAATCTTGTACCGACCCTCTCCAACGATGACTGATGGCAATATGGTCTATTTGAGTCCATCGTTGGTTTGGTGCAGGCGGTCGCCACGTTAGACGATGTCTCTCCTTATGCTTAAAATTTGTGTTTGCTAAAAATAAACGATTGTCTGAGCACAGTTGCAGCAGACGGTCACCATTATCTGTTCGCTGTGTCGGAATGCTAAAATATCCACCTAAATGCCTTTCTGTTTGGTTTAAGCTACCTATCTGAGCATTAAAGTCACCCCCTACGAGTACTATGTCTGAGCGTTTAGCTTTCTGAAGAAGTTTGGACAGCTTTCTGTAAAATTCATCTTTCACATCATCTGAGCTGCAGTCAGTGGGAGCGTAGGCAGAAACGACGAAAAGGCAACGACGTGTGTCCCTATCCTTCCGAGTTTTTACGGAGCCGTTTAGCCGAACAGCACATAGGCGACTGTTGACGGGGATCCACTCTAGCAGTGCTTGTTCCGCCCTCATGCTTAGTGCTATGCCTACACCCGCCAGTCCACGAGAACTGGCCATAGGGTCACCAGATACACGGAGGGTGTATCTCGTTGGCTCTCCGTTTTGCCGATGTGAGGTCAAGTGAATGACCACACTGGAATCCTGTATGCGTGTTTCGGAGACACAGCATACATCAATGGAAAGAGACTCTAGGGTTTTAGCCAAGGAAGCCTGCTGACCGATTTGACATAGAGTGCGTACGTTGAAAGCTCCAATGTGTAGTTTGGAGCGAGGTTTCATTCGACCTGGGACAGAGTTTTGAGCACTAGAATCGTTGGCTATGGTGACACTTGAGGAGGAAGTTTAGGGTTGAAAGTCGATGTAGGAGGAATAATAGGAATTGAAGAGGAAGGTTGATTATGAATGCAGTGGTCTTGCGTGCTGTTAGAGGTATGAGGGCGGTTATCACTTCCCAGTTGCCCACACCGTGGAAGGGTTCTTCTGGAGGTACCTGAAAAGGAAATTGGATTAGAAGTGGTCTCAGTGACCTGAGAGCGTGACCGCACTGCCCAAGGGACAACTGCTTAAGGCCGGTCGCGCACGGCCTTTTCGTGGGAGGTTTTTGACGTGTTAGCTCCGTTCTTTAAAGGGCCTTACCGCCGGAGACGGAAATCCGTGAGGTAAGGTGAGGTGTGCATTTTTAGGGTCGACCTTTCCTAACCCCACCCCTCCTTGTGGGAAGGCAGCATCGCTGTCATGCTGGTTGTCTGAAGTAAACACCTTACTGCTGTCACACCTCTGTACAGTCAGCAATACGACTTCGCCTTCGGACCTTGGGTTTGTTGCTTTTAGTCTTACCGCTCTTCAACCGACCTGTCTGACATGGTAGGACCTTGAGGAACGGTTGTTCCAGCCAGTATAGATCGGTTGCTTCATCACGATAGGCAAGTCCGACCACCACGTCAAGGTAGCAACAACGGTCGGGAGAGAGACACATATATAAACAACTTAGGAATTGGAACCATAACATCGATCCAGGTTGATACATCGTCCATATCATATCGCAAGCTGTTTACCTACGCCTGTTACCCCTCATTGAGCACAGGCTGCCGACCAAGATTCTCCAACTAACTAGTTTTTTCCAGTTACTATTCATTCTTTTTATGTCTGCCTCCAAGCTGTAGTCAGGGTAAAAGGATTACTGTAAGTGAAGACAGCTTAAATAGCAGTAGGACCTGAAAAATCCGTTCAGATGAATGTTATAGGGTAAGCCGTAATAAGCTACCTACCAATTATAATAAGGTAAATGTATCTACACTGACACTTGTAGTCTTAAAGCATTACATAGAAGACTGTCCTCATTAAATAAAAAAGATTCAGATCGATGTCATAGTTACTTTATTTTAACACTCTATTAACCTTTCTTCGTGTTGTTAAGAATAATGAGATGATTAGGTAATACTCTTTGTGCCATACTCTCACATTGCCCCAACTAACTGATTATTCTACAACTGCATGCATCTTCAGCTCGTACTGGTAGTCGGTTCACGTACGTAGCAATTTCGCTGAGAATTTGAAAATACAGTTGTCACATCAATTTTTAAAGTTTGTTTCCTCTAAAAAACTTTATTTTTGTCTAACCACACTTGTTCATTGTGATAAATAAGTCAATTTGTGACAATCTATTGGTTTTAATCTTTTTTTTCACAGGTGAATTCTTTTGAACAGCTATGCATCAATTATACGAATGAGAAACTTCAACAACTTTTTAACCATACAATGTTTATCTTAGAACAAGATGAGTATACTCGTGAAGGCATACCATGGGAATTTATAGACTTTGGACTTGATTTGCAACCGACAATCGATCTAATTGAACGAGTAAGTTGAACAATTCAAATTACCCAGACAGTTCGCGGTAATTGATTTTGTACCGGTAACTGTTCATTATTGTATGAACGTTTTGCACCATAAATCTCTGTTCATTCGATTTAACGCATGTTTACGAATCTGAATGGATTTATACCTACTTAACTCCTCATTCCATGGTTGACGCATATATTAAATATCACACTTATTCAACGTTGATAACAAAGAATCAACATAGATTTTTCTGTATGTTTTTCTTATAAAACATGTACAACCTACTCCATTTAGATTTGATGGGTTACCATAGGTTTTAATTTACATTCGGAATGTGTGAGGAATTTTCACATAAATACTAAAGACTAACAATTGGCAGTTTTCCTTGCTAAAGATATTAAGAATTTTATATGAACTACATAATTATTTGATAATTATAAACATATACAGCAATAGATCGATATAACGCGTTGACTGCTATCTGACTACATAAACTTGAAATTGATCAGTACTTGGTGATCAATCAGTTGTAAATATTTCAGTCTTTGATAAGTCTTGCTAATTGAACGCTAGATTTGGTTCCTAAGCTCTTCTAGTAACCCCCAGGTTAGATTAACACAGTGACTTGAACACGAGAAAAGGCGCGAAATATGTAAGAAACTTTACTCTAAAGGTTCGTCTATGTACAGAAAATATAGGGTTTTTGTAGTGTTTTAGATGTCCTTGGGTTTCCCGAAAATTCTGGAATGCTACTAAACACAGTAGCAGTATAAGTAATCATCCAATCAGAAACTCTACATGTGACTTTTCACTTTCTTGATATTTCTGGCACAACTTCTAGTGAACGCTGATTGAATAAGATGCTTATAAGTGTTTTCAGAGCCTTTCTTGGCTTTCTTCTAGGAGCTTACTGGATCTCCCCAACAGTCTCGCGAGGTCAGTTTTTGCCTAAGTAACTCAGTAGTGACGTTAGACTGTGAACTGAGTGTTGTGAGTTCGAATTCTACGGAAAGCATCAGTTCCATGAAGATTCTGGGCAATTATTGTTGATGAGTGTCCGTTGGTTTGAAACATAGGTCCAAGGTTTTTTGCAAACTAATAGCAACCACTAAACATTTACAGAAATTCATAAATTGTTGCTACTTAAAGTGTTTCAAATTTCTTCCCTGTTTATGCAGTCATATCAGCGGGAAATGAGATGCCACTTGTCATTGAATTTGTATGATTGGCTATATTATTTAGATCATTGGACTAAAGCTTTTCCTGACCATAATGCTATAGATTAAATCTTGTAGGATAAATAATAATAGGCAAATGACTTGTTTATATAATTCTCCCATGATTTATAGCTTCAATATTAGTTTCTGTCCTCTTCCATTTATTTGTTTTTGATGGATTCTTTCTCTTCAACTATACCTAACAACTGTGAGAAAAATTTTGGTGGACTAATACTTGGTCCCCTTAACTTCTATAATTCATCAGTATAGGGTCCCAACTATAAGTTAAAGAATGAAAAGAGATCTAGAACATATTCGTAGAAAAAGTCTGAACACTCGGTTTCAAAACGACTCCTATCATAGACTCCTTCGTTTCCATCAAAAAATCCAACTAGAACCTACTGAAAAATCCCTCTTAGTTATCGTTTTGTGACATTTCACTTGTGGTAAAAAACACATGTTCTCGAAAACTGTTATCCCTAATCACCAATTTTCAAGATCACCAAATAATCCCGTAATTGAAATTTCTCATAGAATCACCATTGACAGCGATAATGAACAAAGTCCCCCTTTTGTCTTGACCTACTTTCCCCACTAGTCCCTGTACCAGACAACAAGGTAAAATGAATTAATTCTTTTACTGATAACCATAGCTGGCGAGCTACGCAATTAAATTATCCTGCATTTATACAATACCTAATATAACGACTACTACTTTTGGGATATGCTGAGCCTTTTCTTAAATCCAGATGAGTAAATTTTTATTTATATCTTAACCACAATGATCAGAAGTCCTGTTTCTTTCTAACTTTAGCCTATGGGTATCTTCGCCTTGTTGGATGAAGAATGCTTCTTCCCTAAGGGAACTGACAAGTCGTTTGTTGAAAAACTCATCAAATCTCAGGATAAACATCCAAAACTGTGCAAAACTGAATTTCGATCTAATGCTGATTTCGGTGTTATTCACTATGCTGGTCGAGTTGAATATAATTCAAATCAATGGCTAATGAAAAATATGGATCCTCTCAACGATAATGTGGTCGCACTGCTTCAGGCATCAAATGATCCATTTGTTCAGGTTAGTTTTCGACAGCTCTTTTTTAATTACTACCATATTTAAATGGGGTTTGGGTTACGATCTGGTTCCTGAATCCTTTCTAAATTAGTCTTCAAGTATCGAGTTTAAAAATCGTTTCATTTGGATAGTCAAATAGTATTACTACCTCACTACTGTATCCTTCGACAAGTAAGTATATCACTCAGACGATAAAATTGGCATCTAAGTTTTTGATGCGTAACATTTTGTAAACAGAATATTAAACATACTCGCAAATCGTTTCTTGACTTTTCACTTTTTTCATCATATTTAATTTCAATTTCTTTACATGTTTTACAAGCATGTAAACGTTTGATATCAGGCAGTTGATTTGAAAATTCGAATTTTTAGTATTAATAGTAGCAAAATACGAATTAAACCAGAGTAAACTGCAAACATCAGTTAGTTTGCAAAATAATCTCTAAATTAAGTGCTTCTTTTAAACTTTTGCTGAATATTGTGTGTTTTAATACAATAAATGTGTAACAAATCAGCGGAGATATGAGCTTTATTACACTCGTGGAGACTGAATTTTTAAGTGATCACAGTAAATAAAATCGATAGGAGTTTCAATAAATTTTTATTGATACTAGTTGGGTCGTTTTTCAATGAGTTCTTCCGGCTTGGTTATATCACTGATCATGTAAATTAGACAACAACTGTTTTTAAAGTCTTGTGATTTTTATCTTGGTTAATCGATCTAATTCTAGGTCGAATTCAAAATTTTGTCCATATGCTGTCATAAGCTGTCTCAGCAGCATTTGTAACCTTTCTGTAAATCGCTTTACAGTCGGATTTCGGTTGTTATTGTTCATGTCTTATTTTTTGTCAGGCTATGTGGAAAGATGCCGAAATTGTAAGCATGTCAGCCACTACTACGACCGACACCGCTTTCGGTTCTGCTCGTAGTGTTAGAAGGGGAATGTTCCGTACTGTAAGTCAACTCTACAAAGATTCACTTATACGTTTGATGACTGTATTGAAAAATACGTCTCCAAACTTTGTCCGTTGTATCATTCCAAATCATGAAAAAAAGCCAGGGCGAATTGATGGTCCTTTAGTTTTGGAACAACTTAGATGTAATGGTGTGCTGGAGGGCATAAGGATTTGTCGTCGTGGTTTCCCCTCGCGTATCCTCTTCCAGGAATTCAGGCAAAGATATGAAATTTTAACTCCAAATGTTATCCCAAAGGTCAGTACTATTTTAACTAAATATCATATTTTCTGTTGTCAGTAAGTTTTTTTATTTATTATCTATCAGTTGTTCAAAAACCCGTCAGTTTTTTGATCATTTCTAGTTTCGTTTGGAATGCCAATTTCAGTAATTAAGAACAGTTTTTCAACTAGATAAAAGAAATGCGTCCTATTTCGTGACTAAAAATCCACTTTTATGTACAAACAATTTGTGGTTTGTAACACTGCTTTTTTAAGTCAAGCAGTATTCCCCATTTGTAAAAATCATACAAAGACGTCACATATTTCTAAACAATCTATTCATAAGTCTAATTTATCTTTTAATTTTCATGCAGTATTAGGATTAATTTAGTATTCTGTATATTAAGTCAGTTTGTACACTGCTCACTCTGTATTCCAACTTTTTATAGATCTTATATAAACCAAGCTTCTGCTGTCTAATTTGCTTTCATTATTGTTGGTTAAGCAGTCGTTAGTGCTTAAGCTATCCTTCTTAACCTATTTTCTTGTATGTACTAACCAATGCCAATATGCATGATTAAGTGTAGGTTTTTGTTAAAATATTCATTTGGTTTCTGAAAATTGAAAAATTAAGCTTCATTTAAATACTATGTGATGTCTTACTGTATACACACACAACTTCGTAAGGAAATTATTTTTCTGCACTTCACATCACATTCACGGATTTAAAAATCCTTGTTATTTCGAACTGAAAAATTAAATACTCTTAGCATGTCAAATGAAGTGATCATGGATGAAACGATCATTAAGACACTCAACTTTCAATCAGTAGGCTATGACTTTGAATGCCGTCCCATGCACTTCGTTTTGGGTTGCCAATTAGTGTCAATAGCCTCCACAAAAAGTTGTCTCAAAACTAATTTTACAAAATCTTGCTTGATAAATGAATTAATGTTTCTTGAAAACTTGATAAATTCACGTTACATTTTAAAATAAAATGGCCTTTCTTTATCCAATCCCAGGGATTTATGGATGGTCGTAAAGCCGTTACTGAGATGTTGAAGGCTCTCGACTTAAGTCAAGACGTCTACTGCATTGGTCATAGTAAAATATTTTTCAAAGTTGGTGTCCTGGCTCAGTTAGAAGAAGACCGTGATATACACTTGACTAACTCGATCATTAAATTCCAAGCATATGCTCGTGGTTATCTAGCCCGACGGTAAGTTTGTTAATTGATCAGTTTGCTAGTTTATGTTTTTCGTCATGTCTTACGATTTTAAGCTAATATCCTTTCGTTGTTTGATCATTGATTCCGTTTCTGTGCGTCGAATAAGTTTTATCTTTGCTCTTTGGACACAGCAGACCTTAGGTTTCTTATTTTGTAGGTACTAGTATGAATCTGGGACTTTAACTGTCTAAACAGTTTTTAATCGAACTTGAAGCAATCAAAAACTATCATTCTTCTGATGTTGAAACCTTCATCAAAATCCACAGTGCAATATTACATTGTATATATATCTATACATTTCTGTATAAACAAAAAGTACAATTGTCTGTTTCAAATGTTTCATCTAGTCTCTTTTGGTATCTGTTATTAACGCTCTCCGTATATATCTAACTGGTTCATATTCTTTATGGGTATCGTTTTTTCTGTTTTCTACAGAGCTAAGGAACAACGCATACAAAACATTCAAGCTAGCAAAATAATCCAAAGGAATTGTGATGCTTACCTTAAACTGAGAAATTGGCCCTGGTGGCGTTTGTTTACAAAAGTTAGACCACTTCTTACTGTTACTCGCCAAGAAGATTTGGTCGCTGTTAAAGAAGAAGAGCTTCGGAAGGTTAGTTTGAATATCATTTTGGATACAAGCTTATAGTTTCGTTTTAAAAGTAATGATGTATAGTCGTTTTTAAATTCCATCACATCTTATTTCAACCTTGAAGTCCTAATAAAATCCAATTATGTATCTGTTTCCAGTCAGTCATACCGACGAAATAACCTGGCACAGATATTCATCAGTTCAAGTTTCTATACTAAGTAAGGATTGCAAGGTGATATGACAATATAAATACTGAAGTGGTAATATTAATTATGGTAAAAAATATTCAAGAAGAAAAAGTAAATTCTCGAAGTACAAAGTATTTTTTTGTATTTGCCCTTCACAACTGTGTTTCATACTCCAGTTCATAAATGTATGAAATTCCTATAAACCTGTCCTCTTCGTACTATCTTCAGATTATGCAGTCAACTGGGATTTCGAAAACCGTACTAAGTTGGTGTTATTCAGCATCGTATTTCGTGATGTTATTAGTGCGTTTCGATGCAATTGACTCCTTTAAGTTTCTGCTATGTTTAAAAATTATTCGCCAAATAATAATCCTAAAACTCCAGTCATAACTAGTGTCAGGTATGAGTAGGTGAGATTCTACCACTGTTTTGAATTCTTTTCAATTGGAATCGAAGCCCGACCGTTGTTGCTACCTTGACGTGGTGGTCGGACTTGCCTATCGTGATGAAGCAACCGATCTATACTGGCTGGAACAACCGTTCCTCAAGGTCCTACCATGTCAGACAGGTCGGTTGAAGAGCGGTAAGACTAAAAGCAACAAACCCAAGGTCCGAAGGCGAAGTCGTATTGCTGACTGTACAGAGGTGTGACAGCAGTAAGGTGTTTACTTCAGACAACCAGCATGACAGCGATGCTGCCTTCCCACAAGGAGGGGTGGGGTTAGGAAAGGTCGACCCTAAAAATGCACACCTCACCTTACCTCACGGATTTCCGTCTCCGGCGGTAAGGCCCTTTAAAGAACGGAGCTAACACGTCAAAAACCTCCCACGAAAAGGCCGTGCGCGACCGGCCTTAAGCAGTTGTCCCTTGGGCAGTGCGGTCACGCTCTCAGGTCACTGAGACCACTTCTAATCCAATTTCCTTTTCAGGTACCTCCAGAAGAACCCTTCCACGGTGTGGGCAACTGGGAAGTGATAACCGCCCTCATACCTCTAACAGCACGCAAGACCACTGCATTCATAATCAACCTTCCTCTTCAATTCCTATTATTCCTCCTACATCGACTTTCAACCCTAAACTTCCTCCTCAAGTGTCACCATAGCCAACGATTCTAGTGCTCAAAACTCTGTCCCAGGTCGAATGAAACCTCGCTCCAAACTACACATTGGAGCTTTCAACGTACGCACTCTATGTCAAATCGGTCAGCAGGCTTCCTTGGCTAAAACCCTAGAGTCTCTTTCCATTGATGTATGCTGTGTCTCCGAAACACGCATACAGGATTCCAGTGTGGTCATTCACTTGACCTCACATCGGCAAAACGGAGAGCCAACGAGATACACCCTCCGTGTATCTGGTGACCCTATGGCCAGTTCTCGTGGACTGGCGGGTGTAGGCATAGCACTAAGCATGAGGGCGGAACAAGCACTGCTAGAGTGGATCCCCGTCAACAGTCGCCTATGTGCTGTTCGGCTAAACGGCTCCGTAAAAACTCGGAAGGATAGGGACACACGTCGTTGCCTTTTCGTCGTTTCTGCCTACGCTCCCACTGACTGCAGCTCAGATGATGTGAAAGATGAATTTTACAGAAAGCTGTCCAAACTTCTTCAGAAAGCTAAACGCTCAGACATAGTACTCGTAGGGGGTGACTTTAATGCTCAGATAGGTAGCTTAAACCAAACAGAAAGGCATTTAGGTGGATATTTTAGCATTCCGACACAGCGAACAGATAATGGTGACCGTCTGCTGCAACTGTGCTCAGACAATCGTTTATTTTTAGCAAACACAAATTTTAAGCATAAGGAGAGACATCGTCTAACGTGGCGACCGCCTGCACCAAACCAACGATGGACTCAAATAGACCATATTGCCATCAGTCATCGTTGGAGAGGGTCGGTACAAGATTGTCGCTCATTCTGGAGTACCTGCTTGGACTCCGACCACGCCCTAATACGGGCACGCATCTGCTTGCGCCTCACTGGACGCAAAAAAGCCACAGTAAAAAGACCCATTCGAACCGAACTGAGTAGCGAGGAAACCAAAAGTAGGTTCCAGGAACAACTGAGGTCACACTTAAGTAGTTGTGAAGACGAGGCTGACCCAGATGTTGCTTGGAAGGGCATACAGCAGTGACATCTATTAGTGACTTAAACCACAGAGTTGCAAGGAACCAGTGGATTTCTTCAAGATCTGTCACACTGATGGATTCTCGCAAACTCGTCCGATCAGGTTCTGAACATGATGAAGAGCGTAAACAAATCAGATCTAGGTTAAGAAAAAGTCTAAGGAACGACCGTGAGCAGTGGTGGGTAACGAAAGCAAAAGAGATGGAAAAGGCGGCGACTATAGGGAACACAAGACAGCTTTACAGACTAATAAAAGAAACTGGAATTAATAAGTCAAGTGTAAGTGAGATTATTTCGGAAAAAGATGATACTCTCATCCGCTCCCAGTCCATACGTTTAGAACGATGGGCGGAACATTTTAGAGAACAGTTCAGCTGGCCTTCAGCTACTCTACAACTGCCCTCCATTCCCAGACAATGTGAATGGAACATTGAAGTAGGTCCCCCGACTCTTGCTGAAGTTCAAAAGGCTATAGTTAATCTGAAACGAGGAAGGGCAGCTGGTCCAGATGGATTGGCTCCAGAGGTCTTTAAGGATGGTGGTACAATTTTAGCGATTAGGTTGACTAATATTTTAGCTAAAATCTGGGAGTTAGACGTTATCCCATCTGACTGGTCACAATCACTTATCGTCCCAATATATAAGAGGGGTCAAAATCATCCTGTGACAACCATAGAGGGATTAGTTTAACTAATATAATATCTAAAATACTAGCTTCGATAATCATCAGACGCCTAACTAAGACTCGTGAACTGCAAACACAAGAGAACCAAGCTGGCTTCAGACCTGGTCGTGGCTGCATCGACCACATATTCACCATTCGTCAGGTTCTAGAACACAGGCATACTTTTCGGCGTCCGACAATGGTGGTCTTTCTTGACTTAAAAGCAGCATTTGACTCGGTAGACCGCGAGACTCTGTGGCAGTGTCTGTCATTGAAAGGCGTACCACAGAAGTACATAAACCTTGTAAAGGCTCTTTACTCGAACACTACTAGTCGAGTCAGAGCTTATGGCGAACTGTCATCTACCTTTGCAACCTCAAGTGGTGTCCGTCAAGGCTGTCCACTTTCCCCATTTTTGTTTAGCTTCATCATAGATCTACTGATGGAAATAACTTTCTCGTCGACTGAGTTCTCGGGTATTGATCTCCTACCAGGAGGTCCACTTACCGACTTAGAATACGCAGATGACATAGTCCTGTTTGGTGAAGACGCTGACAAAATGCAGTCTTCTGGTAGCACTGAGCAACGATGCCAGGATGTTTGGGATGCGCTTCTCTCCCTCTAAATGCAAGTTGTTGCTTCAGGACTGGTCTGCGTCAACACCTGAACTAAGGATAGGGAGTGAAGTAGTCGAACGCGTTGACAACTTCATTTATCTTGGAAGTCTGATCAGCCCTAATGGGTTGGTATCGGACGAAATCTCAGCACGGATTCGAAAAGCTCGTTTGGCTTTTGCCAACTTACGTCACCTTTGGCGGAGGCGAGATATCTGTCTATCAATAAAAGGACGAGTATACTGCGCGGCAGTCCGTTCTGTTTTAATTTACGGCAGTGAAACATGGCCATTAAGAGTAGAAGACACTCGTAAGCTACTAGTATTTGACCACAGATGCCTTAGAAATATTGCTGGCGTCTGCTGGGATCACCGGGTAAGTAATAGTGAGGTTAGACGCAGAGTATTAGGGAATGATGGTAAATCAGTTGATGGGGTTATGAATCTTCATCGACTGAGATGGTTGGGCCACGTGTTACGTATGCCTGAACACCGATTACCACGACGTGCAATGCTATCCGGTTTTGGAAATGGTTGGAAGAAAGTTAGGGGCGGCCAAACCAAAACGTGGCATCAGTGCTTGAAGTCACTAACTTCTAGTCTGAGCCATGTTGGGAGATGCAGACTACTTGGTTGGGGTCCGCGTGACTATCGTAACCAATGGTTGGAGACTCTTGGTGACATGGCTCAGAATCGATCACAATGGCGTCGGTGTATACACTCCCTGTCTTCCCTTAAACTAAGAGATTAAAATCACTTCATATCTTTCTTTCTACGAACCAATTCTTTCTTCTTGTACTATATCTCTATATGCAATCTTTCTCCTATATATTACCACCTTTGACCTAACCACTGCTATGAATCCGCTGTTCATCTTGCTGTGCTGATGCGGTATGGCAACCTGGACCGATGCACATATGTGCCTGGTCGTACGTTGTAGCTGACTGACTGACTGACATTACTTTATTAGATCGGAATTAGTATTCCCTCCATCAACCTTTTATGATAGTCAGATGCTGAGGTAGTCTTTCATAATTTGTTTTGTGTGAATTAAATGTCCTATTACTAAGCTTGTTAATCAATATCTAACTGGTTTATTTCGGAAAAAAAATATAACAATATGTGACCAGGTTCATTTTGTACAATCAATCATATTTATTTGCCTAATATTTTATCGGATCTAATAGAAATCTCTACATTTATTCTTCTAGATATCATTGCCAAGGTTTGATTTGATAATTTCAAATAGATTGAGCATTGGGTAGATTGTTATAAATAAATAAATAGTATATTTGTAATATCCCAATGAGTAGAAAAAATAGATTTTTTGACGTTTCGTGACTTAGTGCAAGTCACTTCTTCAGAGAATAAATAACCAAATTAAAATTAATCCAAGTTTAAATCGTACAACGGAACAATAAGAATATGTGATCAATCAAAAACAGGTCTGATTAAGTTAATGTCATGTCATTTCGTTGTTGCTACCTTGACGTGTTGGTCGGTCTTGCCTATCATGATGAAGAAACCGAGCTATACTGGCTGGAACAACCGTTCCTCAAGGTCCTACCATGTCAGACAGGTCGGTTGAAGAGCGGTAAGACTAAAAGCAACAAACCCAAGGTCCGAAGGCGAAGTCGTATTGCTGACTGTACAGAGGTGTGACAGCAGTAAGGTGTTTACTTCAGACAACCAGCATGACAACGATGCTGCCTTCCCACAAGGAATTTGTAAGATGATAGTGTGAATTGTAAATAAGATCAGACTGAATGGCTAAGATAGATAGTCTAAGTAGTATTTATGGTAAGGCCTTCTTTTCTATTGAGAGAAGTAGGATTAAGCATTATATGGAACGCTTCAGCTACTCTCCTTTCTTTGCAATTGGAAAAGCCTTTTTGCAATATTTTGATATTTTTAAAATCAATTTGGTGGTCGTTGAAAATAGCATGAACTGCTATTGCCGATTTAATTTGAAGTCTATCCAGTTCTACGGGATTGTTAGGAGGTTTCTTTGTGTACCTAATATGTTCTTTGGCTCTAGTCAAGATTCTTCTCCAATATAGAAGGCATCACAATCGATACAACATAGTTTGTAGACGCAGTTCTGTGTGGACATTAAAGGGTTTTTTTCTTTTAAGCGAGCTAAAGTATTTCGAAGTGTGTCCGTTGTTTTGTAATATACTTTAATTCTGTGTTGTTCTAAGATTCTTTGGAGTTCTTCTGACATCTGTCAGAAAGAGTATTGTCGTTCTCTAGTAAACCAATAATGAATTTCAAGCATTTATCAATGGGAATACTGGTGTATAGAGAAAGGACATCAAAGCTTACCGTGATCTCATTCTTCTCGGTTTGGTCACCCGGGCAGTATCGCAGCCCTCACACATATCGAATGGGATTTGTGTGGCGCATATGTGTTTGGTGCCTACTTGTACCAATATCTATGTGTTAATTCTTCTCGATAATTAATTCCGATAATTTTAATTTAAAGTCATATGTATCTTTAATCATATTATGTAAGTTAAGCTGTAGTGATTTTAATATGTTGCTTAGATATTTCGATAACACATATGTTAGTGTGTTGGTAAAGTCTACTATCGGTCTTGGAGGGATATCTGGTTTATGAATTTTCAGTAAACCATAAAACCGTGAAGCATTGCGTGATTTCGGATGTAGAGCAAAACAGAGCGAGACACCAATGACTGGTTTTAGCTCTTTCAAAAGTTGACTTGTTTCTGATTTGACTTTGTTTTTAATCGTTAGAGAATTTTTCTGATTGATCTTTTCATATGGTTCTGTTGAGAGATGTTCAAGAGCTTTATTAATATAATCTGTTTCATTTATGACCACTGTTGTGTTGCCTTTGTCGGCTTCTGTGATGTTAATCGTTTTGTCTTTTTTATTTATTCTCTGAAGAAGTGACTTGCACTAAGTCACGAAACGTCAGAAAATCTAATTTTTCTACTCATTGGGAGATTACAAATATATTATTGATCTACATTTATTTCTTTGATATTGTTTTATTTTAGATTCGTGAACAAATGGAAAAAGTTGTCAGTGAGCTTAATGAAATGCAAAGATCCTACGAAAAGTTAAGCAATGAGAAAGTCCAGCTAAATGCTGAATTACAACAAGAACACGATTCAAATCAAAATTTACAGACAGTAAGTTTTTATGTATGCGTATCAGATAATATCTTCGATCAAATATCTTTTTATATCATTAGGATGTTTTTGATAATTTACTAAAAGAGACCTTTTCTTTTCTTTGTGGTGCTATATAGGAGCGTGATCGTCTACGCGAAAAATTACAAACTTTAGAAGAAGACTATATGGAACTTGAGAATAGAGATAGTGAAGAAAAATCAAAATTACATAACCTGGAAGCTGAACAAAAACGTCTGTTAGAACAGGTAAATTCTCATGGATTCTTGTATTCTGATCATCTCTTTGAAATGTATATTCGATAATGGAACGGTTAAAATACTCCACCTTTAATAGCTAGAAACCACCTTCGGTTTGGGCAGTAGTCGGATTGTACTACTAGTCTTTTCACATAAAATTTAGCTTGTAGTTCGATGGTATATGACCCAGTAATTAGTTAATTAATTATGTCGAATTTGGTTAATTAAATTTATATATGTACTGCTTAGATTTTATTATATTCCCTGAGTTATCAGTATTTTTTCGTCACCCGTTTTTGTTATTCGTATATATACGTATTTTCTGCTATGGCTTACGTTCTATCCCCCTCATTTTTAAATGTCATGAACTGACATTTCCTCATATATTTGTCAATTTCTTACTAAATTGATTGAGGCTTGTCTTCTGTTGTTCATTTTGCACGTTTTCTTCAAGTTGTGTCATTGTAGTAATATTATTTTTGTTTCCGAATCTTAAGCACTCAAACCTGAAGGTTCTTGGTCCGATTTCCTTTGGGGTCGTAGATGCAGAATATTGAGGAATCTAAACCAAGACAAAACATCTCTCCAATGCCTTCTAGTTCTCAGGGCTATATAGTTAAGGTTTCAACTTAATTCTCTATAAAGCAATTTCAATCTATCAGAGTTAAATTCACAAGAACACATCTCACTAATGAATTACTTTGTCCCATTCTAGTACCGCTCAGTCGCACGTACATATAAGTATTTTTACCATAGTATTTTCAAATTCATTGGTCTCACTATATTTACTGTTAAACTACCGAAATACATGTGTATAAGATGTTTAGATTCACAGCGATTGTTCAACTGTTCTTAATTCACTAAATCAAAAAAGCTTGCCCGTAATTCATGGGCTAAATTTCAAAGTTGTATTCTCATGCATTTTTCGATGTAGTATACTCCTGTATATAATTTTATTTCTATTATATTATTATTTATTTAATTTTCGGTTTGTATTTACAGATATCAGATTTATCAGATCAGTTAGAATTGGAAGAACAACAACGCCAAAAATTACAAGTTGAAAAGACATCTATCGAACAAAAAGTTTCTCAACTTAACGATGGCTATGTTAGCATTGAAGATAAATATAATAAACTTGTTAAAGACAAAAAGCAGTTGACTGATCGAATAGATTTGTTAACTAGTCAGTTAGCAGAAGAAGAAGAGCGTAGTAAACAATTAACTAAACTTAAAAGCAAATATGAAAGTAACCTTAATGAACTTCAGGATAAACTTGTCCGTGAACAAAAATCTCGTCAAGATATCGAAGTGGCAAAAAGACGACTTGAAACTGAGGCTTCCGAACGTCTAGATCAAGCGTCGGAATCGTCAAGGATTGTTGAGGAGCTCCGAGCCACGGTGGCTAAACTTGAGGCAGAAGTTGCTCAATTACAAAATCGATTAGATGAAGAGATTGTTGCCAAAGCTGTGGCACAAAAATCAGTGCGAGAATATAAATCACATATTCAAGAACTCAAAGAAGACTTAGAAGCTGAACGAATGGCTCGTGACAAAGCTGATGAAGCTAAAAGAGATCTGACGGAAGAAGTGGAGGCGATGAGATTAGAACTCATTGACAGTGGAACAAACAGCGAGGCACAAACTCAAGCTCTCCGAAAATATGAATCTGATTTATCCAACCTACGTCATCAGCTTGAAGCTCAGTCAAAGTATGTAGTACTGTTTTCAAGCAACATATGCAACCACTTATGTGTAATGATTAATTAAAACACTTATACAAGTCGTCTGTAGGACATTGGGGAAAATTCATATCTAAATACTACCCAGTGATAAATAAAAGCATTCCTCAGGACTTGTACTGAGATCGACAATGTTACGTTCTTCTAAACAGAAGACTGCTGTTAGCTTTACACTTGGATAGGAAAGTATATTGATTTATTGTTTGTTTAGTTAAATATAAAAGATTTAAAAGCATACTTTCTAATAGAATCGTGTTCTATAAAAATCCTACTCACATTAAATTGTAAATAATCGTCAACTATAACTGATTAGTTAACTGGACAGTCAGTAGAAGACTTTGATGTTATGGCTTCAAGCCTTCCATATTAATACTAGGTGTTTATATCTAATGTCTTTATGCAATTATTACGTTGTTTGACCAACATAATTTCTTCACTGTTTAATGTATACTCCATATTCAGTGACTTTATATTTCGTTCAGTCTGTATATGCATAACTAATAACACGTTTCTTATCCATCTTAATAATACATTTATCTAGTTGTTATTTCAAATCAATGCACAACCTGTTGGCAATAGATCAGTTTTTATAGCTTCACTAAATAGGAAAATATTCAGTCACTTAAATGACACCTTATTAAATGAGCGTAATTTTGTGCAACATATTAAATCACAATTGTTATTCAATCTCTTGTCATAATACTTTATTACCTTAACTTCTTCATTATTTAGTTTTGTTCATTTGTTTCTCATGTAATATATTCATTCAGCGCCCATGAAGCTACTATTCAAGATATGCGCAAATCTCATGCTGCAACTCTAGAAACATTAAACGATCAAATTGAACAACTTAAAAAAAGTAAAGTTTCCTTAGAAAGATCAAAAGTTCAACAAGATTCAACAACTGATGCATTACAGAAACAAATTCAAAGCCTTAAACAAGACAAGTGAGTATATATATATATAGTACATAAAAATACCCAATAGTCTGTTGTATTAGTTTTCATCTTTTTTTGTATGTGTATGTGTCAAAATAAGTCATTGAATATTTTCAAAATGGGGGTTTGTGGAAATTTTAGTAATTTAATGGTTGAATTCATAAATCGATTTAAGCTAAACCACCATGAAAAACCTGTAAGAACTGGACGGCAGTTCGATCCTAGTATAGGCCCCTTCAGCAGCACACATTCACGATCCCACACACGGGACTCGAACACATACTAGGACGATATAGTTCTTCCAGGTTTTCCATGGTGGTCTAGCTTAAATCGACTCAGGAGTTCAACCATAGAATATTTGTCCTACTATGATTAGCTTATGTGAATCACTTATCATTACTATTACTTTTGCATGTATGACTTTTTTATTCGTCATTTTCTGTAGTTTTCTCATCAATTTTAAATCATTCATTTAAAAGACGTCAATTCATTATGGCATAATTATCACTGACCTTTATTCTTTGATATTTATAATTTTGTTATATTTAATACATCAGAAAGCGAAGTTGTCGCTCGTCACTTTTTTTGAAAACTAATATATTAATCTTCACAGATTTAAATCATGAGTCAGTTGAAGCTAGACCACCATTGAAAACCTGGAAGCACTGGACGGCCGTTTCGTCCTAGTATGGGACTCCTCAGCAGTGCGCATCCACGATCCCGCACCACGCGGGGCTCGAACCCAGGACCTACTGGCTTCGCGCGCGAGCACTTAACCATTAGACCACTGAGCCGGCATCCAACGGTGTTAATGTCTAACTTCAACCAATCCACGAAGTTGCGCCACCATATACCATTGTCTTCAGTGAGTTCCTATCTCTCAAATTTCTAAAATCTCCACAAACCCCTTCTGATAATATATTAATCGTATTAGTTAGCATCAATAATAGTATTCATGACGCAATCTCATCGGTCAAACACATTCATTCACTAGTTCATATTGGCATCGCTCCTAAGGATAGACTTTTATACCTATAGTCAAACATAAATGATATACCGGCATATTTTGGTTTAAAAAACCATACATACTTTTTGTATATACATGACATCAGTTCATGAAGTTATTGATTGTTAAAATAAACCAGATTAATCGGTGTAGATTTACCCCGATTGGAGCACATACCATTATCATGACCAATGGTTCAAGACTTTGGTTGACATGTCTCAGAATCAGTCATAATGGTGTAGTGAACGAGGACGCAAGTGGGGACGATCCAATCTATTTTAATATAACATTACAGAATATCTTAATAAAATCTGAAAAGCATACAATAAACACTTCATTTGCAAAATATCAATCAATCGTCTCATACCTTATTGTTCCTTCATTTCCACATCAATCGTTCTCTTTTCTTCGATCTTCATAACCTTCTGCCTCCAGGCATTTCACTTTCAATTGGTAATACATACTACTTATATCTGTCGACGTCAGTAGCACACCACATTGGTACTGAGATATTCACTCTTTGTTTTCATTGTGACTTACGTCTTAAAGTCGTTTTGTACTTTTAATTCTACGAGTTCATTTTTTTTATCAAATCCTGTTATTTTTTCTAACTTATTATATTATTATATATTATTACTAACAATACTACTAATCTTATCATCTGAATTTTTTATCTTTATGTGCTTACATGGTGTGAAAAATTGGGCCAATCCATATACATTCCCAGATTTTATGATACCTATGACTAGTTGATAAACCCCTTTAGTCTCCTGAAATTACCTATTTTTCCCTTATTGTAATTCATTAAATTTGGATGACAGAAATCCATATTTAAGTTCATCAGCGGCAGAAAAACTTAAGCTCTCATGGTAATCTAATTTTTTTTAGTTTTAATTAATTCAATTGTGTATACTTTTAGTTCACAAATTTTCTACTGCTTTTCCACTTTACATCACTTTTTATTTCTAGAACGGAAATTGACAAACGTCGTCGTCAAGTTGAACAGCAACTAAATGAAAGTTTAGTCAAAATGCAAGAAACAGAAATGCAACGTAATGATTTAGAGTCCAGACTCACTAAAGCATTGAATGAAATTGAAGGTTTGAATAATGCAATGGAAGAAATCGAAACTAAATTAGGCAAGGTCTCGCGTTCTGAAACCTCTGCACAATCTGAACTCAATCATTTACGTGCACGTTTGGAAGAGGAAACTCAGGCAAAATTAAGCTTACAGTTACAGTTACGTCAAGTAGAGGATGAAAGAGAAACAGTAAAGGATTCACTGGATGCTGAAGAACAAGCCAAAACTGCCCTAGAGAAACATATTATAGCACTTACTACTCAGGTTGTTACCCTTTTTTTCCATGCGATGTTTTTTAGAACGGCTTTAAATATATAACTCATGTGTTGATTATAAATCGCTTTATAATCCATTTAATATATGGGATTTATTCTTATTACGGATATAATTATAAGAATTTGGGCTATCTTTTGGCATTTTTGCCCATGAAATGGAGAACATGTACTTCATTCAGAAAAAATCAGTGGAACAAGCTAATTTTTAGGGACAGGTTTGCCGACTCAATTATGCTTATTCTTTCTGTGTAATTTTACTCATTTGGTTGGTACGTCTTGATGGTGATAATATTTAAGGCATATTGAGCTATTAGTAAGTACTGCAAATTGAAATGGATTTTATTGTAAATTTTCTATTTAACTTGGAAAACATCTCATCCTATGTCACAGGTTACAATACCTAAGTTCATACTGTTTGCCTTGTTTTCTTATTCCTATGTCATATCCTTTACTTAATTAATCTCCATATTGTTTTACTAAAATTTCATTCGCTATATGAAATTTTTAAAATTTATAGATGCAAGATGCAAAGAAAAAAGTGGAGGAAGATACACATTATTTGGAAACCTTGGAAGATGCACGTAAAAAACTTCAACGTGAATTGGATGATACCCGGAATCGTAATGAAGAACTTGTTTCGCAAGTTGAAAAGTTAGAGAAGTCACGCAAGAAATTACAAAGTGAAGTAAGCTGTTATGTTACTTCCCAACTCTAGCAACAATTGATCTTGTTTCAACTATACAGTTTATAATAATATGTTTAATTTCAACCAATAGTGTTCTATTTACATAAGTTTCGTAACTTACAGCTTAAGTGATGTTGAATAGCGTTATTCTTATCTACATTACTATAATTAGTATGTGAATATATAAGGTGTACATTTCATGCTAATAGAATGTTACATAACTTGGAGTGGAAAAACGAACATTCATTGCTCCAACTATATTTGGAAATCTTATTTTTGTTCAGAATCCCTTCAAATTTTTGAACAAACTGATCTAAAATTATTTATCCTATTACCGACCAACCAAGGTACAAGAATTAACTGCCTTAGTTTTATTTTAGTTGTCAAGTATTATATACATAAGTCGTTGATGCATTTTTTATTCCTTCACTCTAAGCCGATAAGTTCAATATCTTTTATTGATCTAACGATTAAAAATGGCTTCACTTTTTTCGTCAGTAGTCTTGCTAGCTAACTAACTATATTAGACAATACTTTCAAACATTTTCATTAGTTCTTGTTAATTCCCATCGATTATGTAGAGTATCAATAAAAGAAAGTCATCGGTAAATCAAAATCAGAGAAATATTGTCTGCTTGTAGTTTAATTTGCAGCTGATTTTGAAAAAGAAACAAGTCTTTCATTATGGCCTTTTTCGCATCCAATTATGATTCTAAACTGAATCTTTCAATCATAAACAAATACTTTTTTACTCTTTGCTTAGTTATGATTATTATATAAATCTTTTTTCAGCTTGAAGATATGAATCATGTCATGGCTAGTCAACGATCTGATCAAGCTAATAATGAACGTCGAATCAAGAAATTAGAATCAACTCATGCAGAAACTGTTAATCAACTTAATAGTTTTCAGGCTCAAAAAGATGCATTTTATCAAGAAATGCTTGAAAAAGACACAAAATTATTCACACAAAAGAATGAAATGGAAAAGCTTAAAGAACAGCTAGAAGAGTCAGAACGCCAGCGTTCATTACTCGCTCGTGAATTAGAAGAACTTGGTTCTCATGGGGATGATGCTGGTAAGAGTTTAGTAGGGTTGGAACAAACGAACTATCGTCTAAATGAACGATTAAAAGAAACTCAACAACAAATAGAAGAACTAGAAGATGAGATTTCGACATTTACCATGGAGAAACAACGTGCAGAGGTTAGTTGATTCAATCAATGTTTTCACCTTTTCCATAGCATTAAATATATGTGTATTGTTTCATGATGAGGAACTTCGTTTATTTTTCATTCGATAGGTTCAAATGAATGCTGTTCGCACTCAACTAGAACGAGAATTGGCGTCTCGCGATGACTTGCTCGAAGAACAAAGACGTCAATCTCTTAAACGTATAAGAGAACTTGAAACTGAATTAGAAGAAGAACAAAGAGAACGTGCTAGTCATCTTAATGTTCGCAAAAAATTGGAAACTGATCTTGCAGATATTAGTCAACGCTTTGAATTAGCGAATCGACAAAAAGAAGAAGCTGTAAAACAATTGAAAAAATACCAAGGTGTTACTGGTGGCATTCAGCGTGAACTTGAAGATGCTGCCCGTGCTCGTGATCAAGCTATAGATTCTGCACGAGAATTGGACAAGAAATATCGTATGCTGGATGCAGATAAAGCTCGACTTCAAGAAGATTTAGGTGTAAGTGAAAGAACTTGTCGTAATCTAAAGAGTGATTTAAATGAAGCTTTGGAGGAGTTATCTATTGCAAATAATGCCAAGTAAGTTGCTTATTTGTTCCAATATTATCAATTTTATGTGTTGATTTTTATTTTATATTACGGCTAAAATCAATTACCTCATATATTCTTTAGAACTTTAGCACTGGAAGAAAAGAAGCGTTTAGAAGCTCGTATTACTGCTTTAGAGGATCAACTGGAAGAAATACAAAGTGCCATGGATGCTACAGAAGAGCGCCACAAACGAGTCTACTGTCAAATGGAACAAGCTCAGACAGATTTAAGCGTCGAGAAGAATAACTTCCTACGTTCAGAGTGTCAGAGAGTCTCTCTTGAAAAACAGGTACGTTCTTTAAAGTTGTTAATTGTTATATCACATTCAACAAACTAATTTTTGACTTCCCACAATTATGGTTTCATTTCGCCTATGGAATTTTAGGTGAAAGAATTACGTGATAGGCTAGTTGAAGCTGAAAAAGAAGGAGGTCGTCGTGGTAAAGCTCAAATTGCAACATTAGAAGCTCGTTTGGCAACCTTAGATGAGCAACTAGAAGCAGAAAAACTAGAGAAGTTAAATGCAAATAAAAATTTCCGCAGAGCTGAAAAGAAATGCAAAGATTTAATCCTCCAAGTTAGTGTTTTTTCTTTACTTTTCTTATTTTATTACCGGTATTCATCTTAAAAACTTATGAGACTACATCTTAGTTATTTCATTCCAACATTTATCACATTCTTATGCGTATATATATGTAACTTGTGAATCTATGCAGTAAATTACTAGTCCATTTGTCAGAACGCTACTTAATATTTGATTCATAGAAGCTTTTCTCATTTATATTTACTTGGATGATTATTTATCAAGTGAAATGTACTAATTACTTCCATTCCACCCCATTATTTAAAACAACTTCCTTTATGTCATGCCTTGAGCAAATAATCCTCCTTCGATGATGAAATCTACAAGTTATCTGTTGAAGATACTATGGATTCATCGTTAGAATTTGTACTAATAAATGTCTTCCTATATAAATTATAAGGTACATCTAACAGAGTAATTTATTTATGCATTTAAACACAAATGTTGGTACAAGGATGCATCAATTACATATTTGTCACAAAAATCATTCGATGTTTATGAGGGCTGGAATACTGTCCAGGCGCCCAAACTAAAGCAGGTGGTTTTCTTAGGTGGTCACTCCCCGAGCCTTTGACCTAGAGGTCTAATTCATAAGGCGGCGGAGCAGCGTTAGGAGGCGATCCCATAGTAGCAGGTGATCAACAATAGGTTCATGCACCATTTGTTCTCTCAGGATCCTAGAGCCCATATGACCACTGTTTTGGAATCAGGGTTTTATGGATTTTTCATATCCACCAACCCGGTTAAAGCACCGGACATTCGGTCCTTTCAATTTAGTAAACAACACTCCGCCTGTCAGCGACTGTATTCACGTGGCCATATGATAGCATTTCGGGAAAGAGAGCGGAATCTCCCCATCCTCTACTGTCCCAGAGCATTTGGGGGAAAGTGGAGAATAACATCAATTTGTTCTTTTCTATATTAATCATATGTTAACTACACTTATCCTTACCATATTGCAAATAAATTATTGTCATTCATATATGAATAAAACCTAACGGTTGATGTGTAAAATTTAAAAGTAACAATTACCAAAGAAATCGAAATGCTGACGATATTTTGAAACATCAATTGTTTAGCTTTAAATATCTTAATTAGGTTATGTGTACACTCAATTCACCGTAATGATAATGGTAACCGCATTGTTTAGTAAATATCAGTATTCAGTCGATATTTGAAATTACTATTGATTTTGTGTTGTTTTAACTAGAATATGTCTATTACTTTACCTTAATTAATTAATTAATCATTTTTATGATTGTTATTTATTACTTCTATATATGTATGTAATATTTTCCGGTAAATGTTATCTGACTTATCAAACTGCATAGAATGACGATTTGAGACGATGTGCAGAAGCGTTGAAGGAATCTTTTGAAAAAGCTCAATCTTCATGTAAACAAAATAAACGAGAAATAGCAGGTCTTGAAGAAGAGAACGCCAGAATCAATGCAAGATGTCGCCGCCTCCAAAGAGATTTGGAAGAAGTAATGGAAGCTAAACGAACCATTGAACGAGATCTACAAAATCTTCGTAAACTTAGTCGGTACGTCTGTTATATTTTTAAGTATATTTATTTTAACAGTTTACTCAATGTGACCCCAAGTATTAACAGCAGAAGAGGGTAAACTTTTAAGATAACGTTTTATAATAATAATACAGTAAATGTAGATTGATTTAATCGACAATTAGAACCGAGTTCATCATCAAGTTGAGTGGTTTTTTTTGCCAATTTAAATATAGAGAAAAATTTCGCAGCTACACAAACGTTATATGTGAATAATAATATTTTTTTGTTGGTTGAAAAAAAGTGATAATCTGGAGGGGCGTAAACAACTGATCGTTGACAGTAATAAGAAAACACTATCGCATCAAGAAGAAATAGATATTGGCTCTGGTATGCTTTATGTTTATTCAAATGGAAGAATGGAATTGTACACCAGTTAAACAATGTGCATACCTTGTTGTATTTGTTTTTGTATTGTACTCGTAGTAAACAATTTTTCATCTAATAGCATGAAAAGAAACATGTACTCTAAAAGTATATGAACTTATTCGAATAGTTGATGTGCTTCTAACAGAAAATAAAGTATAGATTATCTACTGTCAGACTTTCAATAATTAAAATAAGAAATATTGGTTTCATAGAAGAGTTCTCTTTTCAGCAAATTCATTTTCAAAGCTGTGCAATCGCAAATATATAGTAGTTTTATTGTTGAGGGCTTGAATACTCATCATGACGATAGATAGGAAATGTTCTAACCCTTAACAATAAATCTATTATTATTTTCCATGATAAAAACAATGGTCTAATACATTTGCTTATTCTACCTCGCTATTATCACGTTTAACAGAATTTTATTATCACTATCATTGTAATTGTTTTCATCTTTAAAAATAAGTATATATTTGTGATTGCACAGCTTCGAAAATGAATTTGTTGAAAAGAGAACTCTGCTCTGAACCAATCTTCAACAGGTATATTCTGTTTACTTTCAATAGGTATCTCAGAAGAAGTAAACGACATACACCAGAATAGGTGGGAATGGGCGAATAATTAAAAATATTTGTAAAAGATATACAGATAGATAATGGGCAGCACCAGTAACTGAATATTACAACGGAAAATATAACTATCATTATTCTCACTGTGTTTTTGTATACTGCAAATAGTGACGTTATAAAGGAAAAATTATGTAGTCGTAGCGAAAAGACCCTGACGATTTTTATTCATCATCGAAAGGATGTGAACCGTTTGGAGATAATATAACAGTGTCGAGTATGAAAAAACTCGTAGACACCAAATGGCCTGTTAAAAAGTCTTATTTCAAAAACAAAAATGAAACAACATACAACCGCGAGAACAATTATGGTGAATTACAATACCCGACAGTGATGATGGTCCTGATCAAAGCCGCAAGAAGCATATGAAATATAATTTTTCGTGAACACACATGTTTTCCGGTTTACGCTTTCCTTATCATCTAGTTTGATGCATACACATTTTTAGTGCTTGTTATATGGAAAAAGTACAAGCAAAACATTTTTGAAGAAAAAACTGAATTCACCTAATTTGTGTTTTTACGCTAGAAAAATTGGGAGGGAAAAGAGGGTCGGTGTGATAAAGAGAAAAATCATTATTTTAGCACTACACCCCAATCAACGTGAAAGGCGTATGCGTATGTGTAGTTAAACTTACTGAATTTCATCCGTTTCGAGAATTCATAGTGATTATGTTGTATGGTTGTTCATAGGATTTTTTCCGGCGGTACCAACACATTCTCTCTGTCCTTTCTTACTACTGCATACACATACATAAATAGCATCCTATTAAAGTTTTTTCCGGTCATCAAGACTAACTGATTTGATATGTTTTTCATTACCGGTGTGTTGTGTATTTCTGTTTAAAATCCTGTATGATTTTTTACTTTTCTCTGGTGATTGATATTCCCTTTCTTTGTGTACTTCTCACATAGAGAAACGTTTTGCATGGAATAATGATATTTTCTCCCTCTCTTTGCGTATGTGTAGTTTACAAATTATTCGTTATCAACGTAACAAATTGTGTATTTGAATTTTTTCAGTGTTTTAGTGTTGTGGTTTCATGTTTTATTTGACTGACAAATATCAAAATTTTTTTTAGAAAATTATCATCATTATATTCTTTTTTTCACCTATTATTAGAAGTACGACTCGTCCAAATCGTCAATTGCCGACAGTACTATCAACACTTTCACCTGATGTTACAGTAGATGAACATAATTCAGTGAGTGAATTGGATTCTATGACTAGTGATTTTGGAAGCGGTGGATCAGTTGCTACTCACAATAATAATAATAATGCTTCTACGCCTTCAGCTAATGAAAATTGAATTTTTTTATATTATCTACAAACTATTATTATTATCGCAAAATATCATTGGGAAAGTCTTGTTTTACTTTCCTATTTTTAACCTATTTTGGGCAACTCATAGTACACAAATATGCTGTTACACAATTTGCACGAACAGCTATACACTTTATCTATGGTATACTACTATTATGGCTGGTGTGTTATTTTTCTCATCACTACATCACAATTTCCAAAGCCAACCTGAGTTTACTCCGCGTACATATATATACGTTAATGTGTATTGCGGTTGTTCCAATTCTCTATTAACTAACACTACAAGTATTATTATCTTGATAATCATGGTTGCTTTATGTATCGGAAGAATTTTCATTCCTTTACACTAAGGTGCGTCTCTAAAACTTCGAACCTTGGTGTTTTCAAACCTCCGATTTTTTTAACAAAATAGAAATAAACTTTTTCTAACTTTGTTGGTTTTTTAATGATTCTGATTGGATTTTTATAAAAAAGTTTTGCCCTTTGCTCCATTTGTAAATCAATGTTAAAACTAACAACATATTTGTTACTGCTTGTTTAATTATGATATATATTTCAGCCATTATCAGCAGTCAAATACATCACTCTAAATATGGCACTTATTACTTTTCTTAAGATATGTTCTTTCCTTTTTGCTCTACAAATATTGCGTCCAACCGTCAACAGTTAGAATTGTTGAAATTTATGCTATCTGCCTGCCTTCTCTGCGAACAAAACTAATTTAAAATTGATATGATGTTTTCTATCTTGAGATGCGTTTTTAAAAAAAAATAATACTTGCACAACCTATAGTTCTTTTCTGTCTTCAACCTTCGATGTCAATCTGAACGTTATCTTTAGCTCAGATTTATTGGTTTCCCTTCTGACCACAGAATAAGCAATGCTTGGGTTATGAATAAAGTACTAGGTAAATATGGCAAGTCGATTGATTAAGTAGTGAATCTTCATCAAGTTAGGTGTATGGGACATGTCACTTATGCCTATCCACCACCTTTCTAGACGGGCAGTGTCTGATGTAAGAGTAGGTTAATAAGAAAGGTAGGGGCGGCCAAATTAAGACAACATCCGTTCATGAAATCATCGAAAGTTGGAGTGAACCATGTTAATAGGTGTAAACTACCTGGTTGAACTCTGCGTGATTATCGTATCCTATGGTTACAGACCTTAAATGACATGGCCCAAAGTAGCTTGAATCCTAAATGCCTGATTTGTTCCATTGCCATTCATACTGTTACTACCTCTACTGTTGTGGGATTTGGCTTGACAGTTTCATCTTTGTGCTAATAGAGTTTGACAGGTTGAATCGATGTACATACAGGTTTTATGTTATGACTCTGGTTTTCCTTCTGATTCGTTACCGTCAGTTGTTTTATTTGAATAAATTGATGTATATAATACTGGTTACAATGTGTACAATTCACCATTCGATTCATGTATTCTTTTGTAGAACAGTGGATACTATTATTGCATATTTTTTAATCCATATGAGGTAGTTACATCTTAAGATACAATCCATATCTTTATAGATATTTTAGTGTGCATTTAGAAACTTCAGTTCTATAACTTATCCTTTAGTGCCTTAACTGCACTTCAACCTTGTTTTTTTAAATGGTCCTCTCAAACAAGTGTCGCTGTATTCGATTATTCTGTCGTTCATTCCAACCATCATAACAACTTTTAAGGTAGTATGATACTTCTCACATGTTAATCTGTTTGGATTATAGACATGCATACTCAAGCACAAATCGAAACGTCTGAATTAATGATTATTATCCTATTATACGAGTAGTGTACAGCTATTTATCTTGTTGTGGATGTTTTTCACACCAATTTAGAATTCTCTAGCATACAGATAATAATTGTTTACAATTCAAGTAACTGACTCAGTATTCCACTAGACAAGATTTACGTAGGTAGCTTAGTGAGAATTCAATCGATAAAGCGAGCTACTGAGTTGGTAAGTATATAATATTGAGTCACATGTGCACCAAAATGTTCTGTAAAGTATATTTTGATAGTATATGCATTTTATATTTTCCATTCAGGAAAAAACGCAGATTTATATGGTATATTCAATTTAAAATGTAATCTAAAAGTCTATTTAATTATTCAGTGCACATTATTCTGACTAGCTTTTCATTTTGGAAGTATGGATAAATGTTAATTTGAGCATACGGTTATAGAAATGACAAAAATGAGTTAACGGCTCGATGTAAACCGTTAAACATGCAACAGGAATCAACCTTGGGTATTCACTCACTCCACCAAAAAGAAGAGTAGCACTGATTAGACTTTAGACTCTTCATCTCTATTTTGTATTTATCAGTATAGGGTTGTGGAGATTATTAAGTTTTTTTGAGACCATCAACTGATCAACCTTAGACCATTAAAAAACAGGGATCACTACGGCCGTTTTGTTCTCGTATGGAACTACCCAGCGGTGCGCATCCACTACCCCCATGGGACTCGGACCTAGGGTCTTACCGAGGTTTCTATGCAGCCTAACTGTGTCTTTCGAAGTTTATTACTTGCATTGAGCTAAATTCTAGAAACTAATAACCTTTTTTACTAACTTAAGTAATGGCCTCATTCTGATCTTGATAAATGTGACCTACATTCTGAAAATAGTAGTGATCAAATGTCATACTTATAGATGTAGCTGTGGTTTTGATATCACGTTATGGTAATTAGTCGAGGTTTACATATTGTCTACACTCAAGAAGTCAGGCATCCATATGAGTGAAGTAGTTGTTATAATTTACCTGTTCATTATAAAAAGAAACATAACCTCCTAGGAACTTTTTTCAAATCCCATTAATGGTACTGCTTGTATAGTCGACAAAACAAATTGCCAACTGTTGTAACTGATATAATGGACGAGTAGTGTGAAAGTGTAACTTGTAAGACTATCAGACGAAAGACTATTACACGTATTTTTATTGTGTAATTTATATCTAATTTTTCCTTTGACCCATAAATCATCATGTAGGTAATTATTTCTCTATTACTACGGCTTTTTATCACTTATGACTAAGGTACGTACATATGGTGATTTTCTAACCTTGTTGGTGTATGATCATTCATTCAGGTATATTATTGTGTCTCTTCAGTCATGAAGAAGAGTAGAATAGATAGCTAATCTGCTTTCTGTGATTATCTGATTATTGAATATTTGGTTGGAAGGAGCAGCTCGAGAACAAATAAGCATCGAGACCTCGGTGGCTATTCATTGGTTGATGTCATCTGGTAAATAGGTCACTGGTCGTACTGGTAATATAGGTGATCCAATTAATAGTCAAACTAAAGAGAGAGGAAATACAACGGCCGTTGCAATTACGACTTGATCATACGAGCTCCAATATAATCCAAGGAATCCGTTTCTCTTTTTTTCCGTTGCATCAATAATTCTTACAGGTACATAACTATTCAGTCTAATTATATAGTAGCATCGGTAACATTAACCAAATTGTCTCCTAATATAAGGCTACTGTAAACGCTTGAATTTAATATGACTGTCGATCAAACATTTAATATTCACGTTACAAATGTTATGATGTGCGAGTGATTGAAGTTGAAAAGAGACATAAAGGTATATATATATATATATCATAATTACGAGTATAGTGTGCTGAAATATTGATTACACAATTCAAACATGTTACTGATCTAACAAACTGGTGTAACTGGCTTAATCTAAAACCCTTAGGTTTTATTGTACTGTACACTCTCACATAATCTATTGTCTTAATATTATATCATTAATAAATATCAGTGCTTTTAACAACCGTAATATATCGTATTGGGAATACTACCTAACCCAAAACTTAAGTTTTAAAGCTTCGTGCCAGTTACTTTGAATCACTCAAAACCAGTCAATTTTCTTAGTATAGTAGAACATTATAAGCAGTCTGTTTTGATCAGTACCAACATCTGATTTTGCGTCTATGACTTAGCTTTCTATTTAATCATTCAGTTTTCATTATCAATTTTCTTATTTGGTAGTTTTTACCCAGATTATGATGGAACCTAATATTTGAATATCATTGTGGTGTACGCTACTTATGTCTGTTGACATAAGTAGTGTGCAACATCGACCAGAAATGGAATACTTATCAAAAGAAGGTTAGGAAAATTGAACCAAAGTGACTTAAAGTAATTTTTATAAATTCAATATGTAATACTCCTTTTTAAGTATTTCTCAGTTCATATAACGTAATAAATGACCATAACAGTTGTGTATGATTCTGACTTAGACATTTCTTTTTAGAATCAACCCAATAACTTTTATTGAATAGAAACTAACAAATAAACAACAGTCGATTGTCTTAAACGTTAAAGTTACGTAACATTTCTTACTTCAATCGATTTACTTCACATTGAGATAACTTGAGAAAAAAAATTAGTTAAAAAAATCAATAATATGGTTTCTTATCCACATAAACTTATTTCACTAATTGGACTGATGGAAGAATCTTAATGAATATCATAAGTAAACTAATACAGGATAACTTGTTTTTCAAAATAAAATATTTTCACAAGTTAACTTCAACTACTTCTGAATAATGGTGATATCATAGTTTAATATGTTCAGTTATTGTGTTTTTGTTTCGAACTTTTGTTCAGAATTTGATTATTCTGATCAAAATACATAAATGTACGAATTTCTATGTTAGAAATCATGTGAATAAGAAACTTACGTGTTTGAATAATTATTCAATTCATCTGTAAATAGATAAATAGCTCATATATATGTATCCAAGTTATGTGTATGAAGTAATTTTATGTTCAATGACTTTGAGTTTAGTTTATGAACAACTTATCTTACATAACTATTTGCATGTAAAGGAATCATTTCCCTCCTATTTATATGATAATAATGAAAACATAGTTTTCTGAGATTGCGCAGTGATTCCACTCTCTTTTTCTTTCTCTCAATATATTCCACTGTAATTTTTTTCTCAATAACATTTATTAACAATTGTGTAATAATCGTCAGTAGGTTAAGCGCCCGCGCGCGTGACCGAAGGCCCCTGGGTTTGAAACCCGCGAGGGAATCGTGGATGCGCACTGCTGAGAAGTCCCACAATAGGACGAAACGGTCGTCCAGTGCTTCCAGGTTTCCAAAGGTGGTCTAACATCGATCGATTCATGACCTCAATCAAAAATTTACGTCTGCTGAAGTCTTGTATTAACTTAACAGAATCTTCAGCCTTTAGCTTTCCAACTTCAGTGAAATCGTCATACATAAATAGCAACACATCACGAATGCAGTCTACGTTCTTTTGAGGTCAAATTGCTTGAAAAGCCGTTTTAATGGAGTTTTGTTCTCTGAGCTGGATGGTTTGGTCTTGGAGCTTTCATCGTTATTCTGAACGATATCATAAGATAGAAGTCTATCTGAAGTTTGTACTGATGTAATAATCAAATCTTAATTTTGTGTTGATGAGGGATTTTTTCATCCATTGGATTTTGACTGGATCACGTGATTTAAAATGTTTCATTACCAGTTCAATTCGGACTTAAAAATGTCTGGTCAGTCATCTGATCGCATTTGTAATCAAGTATCTTCCCATTCACGTTAGATGCACCAGTGATTTTCAAAATGATCAAAATAGGAGAGCATGACAGAGACCATCACTCGGAATAACCCAGGATCCAGCCTCACTTAGCAGTGCCTCCCACAGCTAATTCAATCTTCGGAAGGGAGACTCAGATCTCATTTGATAGCATGTACACACCAAGAACAAAAAGAAGAGATTAAAAACTTGAGGGGAGGAATATTG